CAAATTTTATTTCTGTGAGAAATCAATCGTTGCCAGTGTAAGTAATTTTATCTATGTTTTTCTTCTATCATCCTTTCTTTTCAATAAGAATGCATGTCTCGTAACTGATCCAATTTTAAGAGTAAATAATGTAAATTGCCTTTACTAAACAAGGGTTATTGTAAGAGTTAACGGTTGAAAGCATTTTTTCTAACTCACATATGTACTATACTTTTATTAATAATAATTATTACAAAATTTTGTTTGCATTTGTTTAATTTTATCTGCAATTACACGTTTAATTATGCAGTCGCGTAGATGTAAGCAATGTTCCTCACACCGTAAGGCCTTAATCCGCTATCCATCTATCACTTGCCGCGTAGATAAGACGATGTTTCATGCTGCCTTCGTTACGCCCGCGACTTGTTTGCGTCACGTCGTGACACGTCTTGGGAGGCGGGAGCTATAGCCATTATTTTGTTAAGGACCCCCAACACCGTTCCGGCGTGTTGTTAGGGAGCGTGTTTAATTCGAAGTTGGAACAGGTTTCCCGTAAGCCGATCTATTTACGTGCGAGCTAGTCGAGGCTTTAATCAATGTCTGTTTAACTCGTGCGGTGCGAGCGAGGCGCCCTGATAGCGTGTCGTAGAGCTGTTTAGCTACTATAAAGGACAGGCTTGCCTTGCGATACTAGTGCTACGATTTAGAGAACTCGTAGACATCAGTGTCACTAGACCTGTGTCATCAAGAAAGCATAAACACACTATAGTTGTCTATGTTTTCCCGATGAAACGTATTCGAAGGTTTTTCTTTCTGCTTTTTCTATTCTCAGCGTACCGGAAGATCGATTACCGGTAACGAAGTATGTCGTGTTGCTTCTCGAAGATAAAAGTATTTCTTCGTCTTTTTTTATGTGTACCACGGAAATTTCTTAATATTTAAGTTATTTGTCTCTTTGCAATCTTTTTCCTCTCTATTCGTCTTTGAATTGAGTTATTTTTACTTCGAGTTTTTTCCCAAGGGATCGGGTGGATGATATTATTCGAAATAAATATAATTTGCACAAAATTTCTTATTTTTTTATGTGAAAAGTTGCCAAACGAGCAGACGGTTCACCTGATGTTAAGTGAATATCGCCGCCCATCGACATCTGCTACACCCGAGGGTTGCAGATGTGTTGACAACCTTTAGAAAGTTGGGCTCCAGCCACCTCACTCACCAGATGAAACGCGAAACTATTATACTTCCACTTTACGCCAGTCTTCTGTGAGGTCGTGGCACTTATCCGGACGAGCCTGCCCATTCGTGCAACAGCCGAGGCCGCTGCATGCCGCATCTACCAACGTTGTTATTATTTCTAAATGTACGTCATAAATACATTAATGTGATAAAACTGACGAAATAATAAAAACACTTCTATACTACTTGGCCTAATGGCACTATTTTATGAAAATTTAATAAGACAGAACAATAGTAATTGAATGAATCTATTTGTAAGCTTTAATGCAAGTCTATCGTTCTAAAATTATTTGGCCTTTTTTGGCACAGTGGTATATTATTCTAGTATACATATTTTACTCGAAATACTTTTTAACTTTATGATAATCTTAATGATCCTGTGAGCTGCTTACTTTTCGCTGAACCCACAATTTGTTATCTTTAGAGCTTAGCAATTTTGCCCTAAAACTGAAAGCAAAGCGGCGTAAGGTATTCCACCTGATATTTATACCTCAGCAAAAACTCCTAAACATTCCGGAGTCATCCTGTCGAGTGGCGGCGCCACTTGTGCAAGTTGGCAAGTAAATCTACCCCGGAAAGGTTTCGGGCAAAATTGTTGTGCAATTCCTCTCGACCGCTCTTGTTAAACACAACTTAACTTATTGTTACTTGGTTACGAAGTTTCATATTTATTGCGGAGTTCGAAATAAGTTCGCCAGGAGCGGCCGCGGTGTTAAGGAGTTTTGGATTCGGTAATACGAATACGATGTTCAGTAGACATTCGGAATATCCAAGTAGTGTAATGATACTGTATACAGATAACAATTTTGTCTACAAGCTGACCTCAAGTGTCATTGATAGACGTGATAGTTTATTACTTTCAATGTAAATTAAAACATTGTTCTTTGTAATTAAAATTGAAACATTGTTAATTAGTAGTATAAGTATTTTTCCTTTCACACTTGGTTGTCTCTTGTTAGCATTTTCATTCTTTGAAGTATTGTAGTCAACAGCACCGAAATCATCTTTAATTTGCCAAGGACATAGTGAGTGATGACATAGTGATGTCAGAAATGCTGGAGGAACTTGGTACTATGCTCAATGACCGCATAAATTTCTGCTAATGGGCAGCGCATTAACATTTACATGGTGAAGATGAAGATCATGTATAACGCCCATGTTGTTGTTGAGAGCACTAAGTTGTTGACCAGTATGTTTTGATGGTCTTCGATGAGGGCATTTGAGGTTTCTTTCGAACGTTGATCCTTGAAGAACTTAGACCCTACTGCACAGATAACTTCCACTTTGCATCTTGCTCGATGTTTTGCACTCGGGAAGGCAGTGGAAGTGAATTGGCAGTTCGAGTTTAAAGTTTTCGGGATTTTGGATTTGGGTAGGGGAGGTCAGAGCGTGGACGTCATCAATGTTCAAGTTGATATTGAATGTGCGTCTAACTATGCGGTAATCACTACTTTTTCTCAACCTATTATTCACGGAGACGTTATTAAATATTCGTGCGTCATAATGAAGCTATTTAATTTTTGGTTGAACCATCACGGCTTCTCTGGAAGATGCTTACGGTAGGAGTTCAAAAGTAGAGTCCCTCCTTCTCCGTAAAGTTGGCTAATTTTTGGCCCCTTTAGTACTTCTGCCCATATCCGCGTATTCCTACTTTCAACGCATTGCAATTCTTAGTACGTAGTACCTTTGCATGGAAGTCATAACAACTGTGAAGTAAGTTTTGGAGTCATGTATGAGGAGATATCTGATTGCCCCATGCATTCGGATATACCCTCATATACATAGCCTTTACCTCATCGTCAGGAGATTTTTTTAGAGGTGCCCAAATTTATACAGGAGGTTCAGACTCGGCAGTGTAATCGTTTATTGAAATAAAAAATTACCATTCTATTCCCTAAAAACAGAACTTGTTGACAACGCGGTAGTCATTCATAAATACCTAAGTTTTACTTTATTTTGTGTGCGTGTTAGTTACGAATGATCGCGCATAAAATAAGTAAGTTGCGTATTAATAACGCACTTTTTGGGATGGTGATTCAAATGAATGTAATTAATTACTTACCAGTGATTTAAAATATTCATCATCTTTTATATAACATTATTTATGTCTAGAATTTAATTAGAAAAAAGGATACACTTAGAAAAGTCTCCCTGTATACCCTCGTGACCTGCAGCGCTTACCGATTCTGAGGATAAAGTACGCTATCATATGCGACACACTGTCGAATTTAACACTTGTTAATGCGTGACTTACGGACAAGCAACCCACCACCACCTATATTTGAAGTTTTTGCTCCATTCCTCTTCCAACTTGATAACTTTCCCGTCAGTCCTGAGCATCCGGAGATTGTGCGTTGCCAGGGCCAAGATCGGTTTGAGGTGATAGATGCACCTGCCGCATATACTTAGCGTCCATATTGCACCGTTAACTTTCCTGCAAGACCAGGGATAGCTGAGCCGCCGGCTACAGGGTGACGTGCAGTAATTCTGAATATCTGTCATTGAGAGCTTGCCTCAATCGTAGTCATATACCGTGTACGATATGTACACGGAATACTCTGCCCAACTACCGGACTTTTCCATTGATCGCCTCCTGTTGTGTGAACTGGTGGAATACGCGGCTCTATGTTCGCGGTTTTTAGACTTTTATCAGCAATTTGAATAAACTTACATTCAACTTGCTAGTGTTAGTGCATGTGAGCTTTCATCATGTCGTCAATATGCATTCTAAGTACAACACACGTAACATCCCCTGCGTTTAATGTGAGCGTCATTACTAATTCGCAAGTGTCAGTTTAATTATGTGAATTTACCTTCCGCGTCTCAAATGGCTCTGGAGTTCGCAAATTTACAGAAGTAACACAAACTTCATTCAACATTCCCCTGTTATTATGTTTTTAATTTTTGATGGTTAAATGTTTACACATTAAAGCTGGGATTGACTGGAAAGTACCAAATGGTTTCGGGTTTGGGCTATAGCTTTTTTTTTATGTGTGTTAGCTGCGACTACCAATGTGAATTCAATTATTTCAAACTGATTGAATAACATGAAAAGTGAACTATTTTATTCTTGTGTCATTTTATTCCCCGTGTTTGTCCTTAATGGATAAAAAGAGCCTTTTGAAAATGTTCTTTATTTAATATAACAATTTTCGTATATTAACATTCTTAAATAATAAGAGTAGAATTAACATTTCACCACTTAATTAATACCAATTAATTAATAATAGTTATGCTTGATAATCAAAATCCTGATATCTGAAAGTGGCGTCAGCTGACAAATTCCAGTTCTAGTTTTCTCTGGTAGTGTTATCTTATGAATAATAATAGCGTCAAAGGGATTTTACGGAATACGATAATCAAAACCATTTGAAATTACACATAAGATTTCATGTTAACCACAACAAATAATTCTTATTAATGTGATAAATTTGTACTTCTTGATTTATAGTAAAAACTAAAAAAAATGTATTTCGTAGAGACGTTGGTCTCTTCACAGTACGGTCGGCTAGACCGTTCGCTGTTAAATTGTAGTGATTATTATTCGACAGGTTTTCATAAATTAACAAAGGGCCATTGCTGCAAAAAAAAATTACTTGAAGTTAATAAAGAATGTCAACTTTCATCTGTATATATGTATTGTATATAGATAGCACCCCTTTACCGTAAATTCGGCCGAATTAATATTAATATTTCCTTAACATGTTACATCTATATAAATACATTCACGGCGTCGAATAAACTCATTGGACGTAACATGGCAGCCGTATGTGATGCAATTATGCACCGATATTGGTGTAGGTTGATGCATTAGCTAGTATTTCCGGCTCGTCAGCCACGGGGGCTACAATATCAGTGACAGGATCCATCGGCGGGCTTAACTTTATTAGGAGCCTATAACAAGGATTAATTAAACCGCGGATGAGTCTCAATTTTCACGTTTCATATCACTGTTGTTAATTCTGCACGAAATGATATAAACCTTTCATTATAAATGAATCGATATCGGTGCAGAGCTAGATAACAGGTGAGCGATGTGCTATATAAGCTTAGTACTAACAGATGAGAAGATTTACTATAAAGTGCTGAAAAGAACTAGCTGGAGCTAGTATAAATAGAAGACAGTCGTCAAGAATGTGGCATTCCAAAAAAAAAATAAGCAGAATTTTCCTAAGATAGTTTTGAATCTGTTGTCCAAATAATGATCTGTCTTTGATTATTTTCCTTGTGATTCAAATGATTTTTTAATTTAAACTAATCAACCATAGTAGTTATGTATATATAAAGATAAACACAAGTTCAAACCCTCCGGGTGTTGCAGGTGTCAATGGGCGGTGGTTATCACTCACCATCTACTGATGAACAGCCAGCCACTTTCTCACATAAAAATAATAATAAGCCGTCATTTTGTATCATGCCTGCAACATCGCGAGGGATTGTAGTTATATAGATTGAGGAAATAATTCAACATAGTAAGTAATTCAATAAAGTAGTAGATGTAGCGTCAATTTCTACTGATTCCGATTATATCGGATTTAGTTTTTCCAGCTTAAACACGTCGAGAGGTATACGATTATCTAACGCTTTAAACATTTACCGATATAATAGGCTGGGGAAAAAGTTTCTTCGCATTTCATATGAGAATTGAAAAACATTTTTTAATAAGAGTTTATTTACATTTAACTAAAGTATGTAGGCGCCATTTTGTTCGATAATTTTCTGCCTTGTAGGGACATGATCCCATTGCTATAGAAATTCTGGGGTTTCTGATCAAAAAACCGCGACAAGTGGTTTTGGCAGTCCTCTCGGGATGTTAACCTGACACTGCCTAAAGAATTCTGAAGAGACCGAAACAAGTGGAAATCTGAAGGTTTGTCAGGACTATACGGCGGATGCATTGACATCTCCCAGCCAATCTCTCTTAAGTTTTGCTGAGTGGCTAAAGATGTGTGAGGTCTAGCGTTATCACGATGGAAAACCACACCCCTTCTGTTGATTACTTCCGGCCGCTTTCTCACAAATTTTTGCTTTTAATCCCATCAGTTGTTTGCAGTAGAGTCCAGAATAGATGGTCCTGCCTGGCGGTAACAGCTCATAATGAATAATGCCCTTCCAATCCCACCATACACACAGCATTGCCTTGTTTCGAGATAACCCAGGTTTCGCCAGAGTCTGTGGAGCCTGACCAGCCTTTGACCATGACCTTTTTCGCACGTTTTTATCACACGTGATCGACTTTTCATCACCAGTTATCAAGTTTTTCAAAAAAAGTTCGGTTTCATTACGTCACAAGGTTTCTTTCAGTGAGGTCATGAGGCACCCAAATATCGAACTTTTTATGTACCTAGCTTTTTAAAATGCGCCAAAACTGTCTTGTGGTGAATCCCAAGTTCTTCAGCTACATCGTAACTACTGATATGCCGACCTTGCTGCACTTTTTCAAAAATGGCATCCATTTTATCCGTAACAGGGTGCATTTTTGATATAAACATTTCCAGATTAAAATCGCTTAAACCAAATTTGTGCTACTCTTACAGATACTGCATTAGGTCCATAAACAACACAAATTTTTTTCGCGGCTTGAGTACATTTTTACCTTTTTAGTAGTCAAATTTTAAAATGTATCGAATTTCTTCATTAGAATCACTCATCTTAACAGTAAGACAAACAAATGAAAATCACACTTTCTCCTAATTTGAATTTGGAATTATCTTTTTTAAAATTTAAACTTTTTAATAATATCAAATCCAGCCAGATAAAAATGGTATAGCCATAGAAATTATTTTATAAGATCATACATACTATTTGCGAGAAGAGTTTTTCCCCAACCTATACTATCCTGACATATCTACTATCCAACCTAACATATTCTATCGCATTAAAAGTAAACTAAAACAAAAAAAGTAAAATTCTCTTAATATATGACGCGAAGAGTTAAAAATTCATAAACGCTGGCATCCTGCAAAAACCGAAACTCTCGTCTAAAATTAATGTTTAAAACGAAACAAACTACGTTGCGGTGAAGTATAAAGGGGTGAACTTTGTTGGGTTGTATTTTTCGTTTCTCATTAAAGAGTTTGCCACACCAATGGCGTATCTATTAACTTATTCAAATTTACAAGGATTCACGTCTTCTAATCGGGGCAATCTTTAATGGTTTATGATACTCAAGTTTCACCACTCTTACGAAGCCTTAAAAGTGGTGAAGACTCGTGCCACATCGGGTACAAAAGTCAGGCGAGAGTATTTGTGGTGCGGAATTAGGTTTATTTCGATAAAAGTGGACTGTATATGCGGGATTAGTTAGGATTTAATTTGCAACCGGCAGACGAATCATGGAGCACGCACTGACCTGGAGGCTTCCAGCGACGAATCTTCTATCGGCTTCAGTCAGCGAGGCACTCGGATTATAAGTCATGTACAGTTACACAGATTTACACATTCACGGCCGTGATTTATAAAGTTAATAATTTAAAGTAGAAGAAGCGTTGATGCGGTGTTAAAGGCGAGCGGTTACACTATATAATTGTCCATCGTGCGTGCGGTTTGAACGGACAGTGCCGGTTGCGAACGAATGAAATGAAGGATTTAAAGGAAGTATGATTTGTCAATGTAATTGACATCTTAATGCGGGAATATTCAAATTAGTATGATATGGCGGCAACATTTCCCCCGCCCTTAAAGGGTCACCTTTAAAAGGAATAGTATAATAAATGGACATAAGTTTATGCGTATGTAAATAATATGAATAAATATAGAATAAATAAATATACAGTAACAGGAGTTTAATAAGCGGTTAAGTAAAGTAATATTATTGTGAAGGCAAAGGACACAATCGAACTACAGGTCGAATAAGTGTACCTCATGCAGTTTTTACCGTAGCGACGCGAATTATATTGTCCTTAGACGGGTGAACCTTCTCCAAATCTCGCCAATATGTTGCGGCGGGCATTCGTCCCAATCAATTTTCAACATCCACAGATCTTTGATGAGCAGTTTAGCGAAGAGCACAACAGGTGCTACGAAACCCATTATGTCCCATATTTTAGCTACAGTGGCTAGAATAACCCGTTTCGAACATTTATTGTCAGGCGCGGTAATTTTAAATTCAAAACAATCATGAGATTTAGACCAACTCAAACCTAAAATTTTAAGCTGTGCGGTTCTATCAAATTCTATTGGTTCGGTTGCCTTATGTGACGAAGGCAGTGTACTTAAGACTGTGGCGGAATTACTAGTCCATTTAACCAAATCGAATTGAGCGCGTTTAAATAAATTAATTAGCTGATTAGCAGCTGTTATAGCTTGCTCTTCAGACATTAAACTAAAAACGATATCGTCCATATAAATATAGCGAGAAGCAATTAACTTTGCTAGCGGGTACGAATCTCCGTCGTCTTCAATTAGTTGCTGAATAACACGGAGCGCGTGGTATGGGCTGGACCGTAGTCCAAAACAAACCCTATTAAATTCATAAGCGGTGAGTTCATCTTGCGGTTGAAAACGATATAAAATTCTTTGAAAGCGGCGATCGCGTTTATTCATTATTATTTGAAGGAACATCTGTTTGCAATCAGCGGAGAGTGCGGTAGCGAAAAGACGAAAATTTAAAATAATCGCAAACAGATCACCTTGCAAGTTAGGACCACTATGGAGAATATCATTCAGCGAAAGCCTTGAACTTGATTTATGACTTGCGTCAAGAACCATGCGGAGTTTAGTAGTGGTTTTATCAGCGCGGATTACACCGTGGTGTGGAATGACGTACACGGGATAGCGGTTGCCAGAGTCAACGAGTGGCGCGGGTGACAGATAGCCTTTCTCCAGGTTTTCATGGATAACGGCGTCGTATGCAGCCTTGAACTCAGGAGAGCCTGCAAACTTCCTTTCCAAGCTCATAAAACGCTTTCGGGCGGTTTCGTAGGTATCGCCAAGCGAAAATATGTCATCACGAAAAGGTAACGAAACAATATATCTGCCTGAATCGTTTTCGCGTTCAGTGGTTTCACGAAAAAAATATTCGCACTCTATATCATCTCGTGTATGGGTGAGCTCAGCCCCTAAAGGAGATTCGTCAATCTGACAGAATTTTTTCATAAGTATGTCAAGCGGGTCTTGATCTGCGGGTTCGGCCGTAGTAGTACAATACGACACTGTTACGTTTTCGCGAGCGGGAAGAGAGGGCACAGTGCCCATAATCACATAACCAAGCGTGGTTTGTATAGCGGGCGGAATAGCGGAATTATCTTGTATTATACCGGGTAGTAAAAGTCGCGAGAACAAGGATGCGCCAATCAGAACATCTATCTGTGATGGGTTAAAGAACTTATCATCGGCTAGCGGCAAACCTTGTAAGAATGGCAAAGCGGAAATGTCAACAGGCGTAGAAGGCAAGTTATCTGTTATTCGGTCGACTACGAGTGAAGAAATTTTATATTTTAAGTCATCATTAAAACGCGAGGCAAACTGGAACTCAACAATTCCTTTAGCGTATTTTTCGGAACCGCCAATACCTTTTACCTTAATGTTATAATTATTCACCGACAAACTTAATCGATTACAACATTCGAGCGTTATAAAAATTACTCTGCGAAGCGCTATCCAATAAACAGCGCACACTATGTTTTATGCCATGCATATCTTGTACAACAACAGTCGCAGTGGCTAACAAAACTGTAGTATTTACATTGCGCGCGAACAAATCTTCGGATAAATAAGAGCGTGTTGATAGCGGCGCAGCATTGGACGTAGTACACAACGACACACTGTCATTACGCACAACGGGCGACGGCTGTGGCGATGTAGGAGCGAGGCATGAAGTAGCCGGCGCGCGCTCCGTTCCCGATGACCGCGGCGCGGCGGTGTTTACAACGTGAGCGGCAGTAGGTTTGACATTGTCAAAGTGCAATAAGCTATGATGCTTACCCTGGCAAGTTTTACATCTAGAACTAGAATTACAAGTCCCTGCCTTATGTTTAACACTCAAACAATTAACACAAGCGTTACGTTCTTTTGTGCATTTAAAACGATCATTCGTTGTCATTTTACAAAATGTAGGACATTTGTATAAATGATCGTGCACTATATCTTTACACAAACATTTATATGTATCGATCACGGAAACGTAAGATTGAAGTTGCGGAAATTTTGCGGTAGGTCGATTTTTCGGGTTCGAATTCGCGGTCGAACTCGAATTCGACAGATGAGAACGTTGTAATATATTAGTTTGTTCCTTTACGTAATCGGTTAAATTATTAAATTGCGGAATTTTTTCTTTGCGAGAATGCATTTCGAAACAACGAACCGTTTCATGATCTAACTTTTTTAACGCGGTATGCATTATAATAAAATCAGTTAAATCGGGAAGATGTAAATTTTTTTAATGCGTTTACGGCGGTTACAAAAGTATCTAGAAACATTTCTAAATTTCGAGCGGTAGCGGTTTAGTAGCGGTAAAAAATTGGCTTAAAGTCGAAAATCTGATTAATATAAGTCGACGCAAGCATACGTTTATCATCGTACTTATCCATGAGCGCATTTAAAATAAGTCTATAGTTCTCGGCGCAAGGAGTTATACCGGCGAAAACAGACTGCGTTTTTACGGATAATTTACCCAACAAGTAATATAGTTTATCAGCGTCGGACAGGGATGAATTATCATGCACATTGGATTTAAAGCTTGCGTAGAATAAAGGCCACGAGCGTATATCTCCATCGAATGACACGAGTTCTATAGGTGGTAATGATGGTCGCGACTTTAGCGATGCTTGCGGATTATTGTCGTTAGTACTTTGACTAGTAAGACGAGACATTACACGCTTAATATGACAATACAATTCTTCGAATGCAACCCAAGACTGATATTCCACCTGAGCCCCTGGGTAAACTTGCATATTATACAAATTGTAATCGGTCAACACCTTTTCGAAATCACTGCGTAATGCGTCAATAGAAGTCGCGCCAGAAAGGAACTCCTCTATGTCCTCCTCATTCTCCACTTGTTGAGAACGATCGTAAATTGTTTGTAAGCGGCTAAATAAAGAATCGCGTCTGGCCAAAGCTATATTCAGTAACATTTTTAATTTAGAATCTGGCGTTTCTGATTTATTTTTTGATGTTGACATTTTTAATAAATAACGTATACAATATTGAATATATTTCTATAGAAGTTTAATATCCAAAAACAAATTATGAATCGAAATTTGCGTTAAAGCGATGCGAGCATTTTTAAATTGCGACAATGGAGGTAGATCAATAAAACTATCTAGTTGCGCTTGCGTTCGAACGAACCTAAGTAATATTGTATTGTATTGCGGTATATAATACTAATGATATTGTATTTTTATAATGGTAATATGTATACGAGCGGGTTTAAATAATATATATATAATGCGGGATGCGGGATAGTATATAAAATATTGTATTATAATATTTTATTTCTAATATTTCGTTATAGGCGTAAGAATGCGTGAATATATATAAAAAATAATATTGAATGTATGAATGCGTGAAGGAATATATAGAATGAGGCGAGAAATCACGTCGTGAAATATGCTTTGGAATATGCGGATGAAGGAAATAATGCAATCCGGGCGAAGTGGCCAAAAAAAATGGTGCGGAATTAGGTTTATTTCGATAAAAGTGGACTGTATATGCGGGATTTAGTTAGTATTTAATTTGCAACCGGCAGACGAATCATGGAGCACGCACTGACCTGGAGGCTTCCAGCGACGAATCTTCTATCGGCTTCAGTCAGCGAGGCACTCGGATTATAAGTCATGTACAGTTACACAGATTTACACATTCACGGCACGTGATTTATAAAGTTAATAATTTAAAGTAGAAGAAGCGTTGATGCGGTGTTAAAGGCGAGCGGTTACACTATATAATTGTCCATCGTGCGTGCGGTTTGAACGGACAGTGCCGGTTGCGAACGAATGAAATGAAGGATTTAAAGGAAGTATGATTTGTCAATGTAATTGACATCTTAATGCGGGAATATTCAAATTAGTATGATATGGCGGCAACAATTTGTGATCATAAAAAAGAAAACTTGCTTATCATTAGTTCGATTAATCCCTAAGACTGGCTATAAATAAAAAAAGTATTTTTGTAGTTATGTATGCAAGTAAGCAGTTATAATTCTTTAGCGCAAAGACATTAAATGGAATTGAAAACTGTTTATTTAAAAAAAAAAAGTAATGTAACAGCCTATACATCTCCCAATGCTGGGCAAAGGCCTCCTCTATACAGAGGGTATCAGGGCATAGTCCCCCACGCGGCCCCACTGCAGATTGGCGGACTTCACATATCTTCGAAATATTTTTTTTTGTTATTATTTCGAAAATATGCAGGTTTCCTCACGATGTTTTCCTTCACCGCGGAGCACGTGATAAGTCAGCACTTAAAGTTAAAAACTTCATTGGTGTCGGCACCGGGGATCGAACTCAGGTTTCTCGAGTATATTGAATTAAAGGCGAGCGCCCGGACACTGAGCTATCACGGCTCTTTTAGTTTATTTTAAATAACTTGGTAATTATTGACAAATGTCTAAAAGTTGTTTTTTTTGGTAGGTTGCCGAGATTAAATTGGTTACCAAGTGTCGCTTTTTGAGGGTCGGTGTGAGAAGTATAACTAGAGAAATATATTTGAAATTTTGTGTAGATTTCAATGACTAAGCATTCGAGAGAGACGTATGCACTGATGTTAAATTGTCTATCCTGTCTTAATCCCATTATGGCTCTGGTGTCACAAGGGATGGTTTAATTACAGCTGGCATGAGCCGATATCGGTGAACTCTTAGTCAATTAGTAGGAGTAGCGAGACACAGACCTCGAGTAAGTACGCGAGGTATGTGGCCATTGAAACCAGTTTTTGGTTATGTTGCGAATATTTTTTTTATGTGAAAAGTTGCCAAACGAGCAGACGGTTCACCTGATGTTAAGTGAATACCGCCGCCCATGGACATCTGTTATACCCCAGAGTTTACAGATACGTTGACAACCTTTTTGGAAATGTTGCGAATAAAAAGCAAATACGAAAATTGAAGTATAAAAGATATTCCCATTAAAATATTCGCAATAAAATAATACTATCATACAAATTAATAGTACGTACAAATATTATTACATTTGTCACATATTAAATGCGAACATAATCATTTTTAACCGACTTCAAAAAAGGAGGATGTTTCTCAATTCGACCGTATATATTTTTTTATTTTTTTTATGTCTGTTCGGGGATAACTTCGTCATTTATGATTCGATTTTAATGATTTTTTTTGTTGGAAATGAGATATCCTCAGGGCGGTACCATGATAAGGAAACCCAGATCTGATGATCGCATCCAAGAGAAATCGAGGGCAATCCACAAATGTTATAGGCGTTGAAAAGGTTTTTTTTTTGTTCAAAATTATTTGAAGACAACATTGTCATTCTACTTAGTTATTAACTAATTATTATAAGCTACTTATTATAAAGTTAACTATTATTGTTAACTCAGTAGCTTTAAACGCCTTATTCTATGTAATTACCAGATCAAAACAATCGAACATAAAACGGGAAATCAATATTAGAAAAAAAAAATATCCGTTATTGCAATATACTCTAGGAATTTTCGTGTGAGTCGCTGAATACGCGAGACACAATCTAAATATGCGATCGCAGTAATACATCATTCATAGCACCGTTACGGGAATAATTCCAGAGCTACATTCGTTTCACATGGCGGTCCGTGGCTCACGTATTGTTTCATTTCCATGTCACATCTTTTCGCTGTACATTAAATATTTCTAGTTCTGGCATATAATACTTGGAACTACTTGCAATTGTTCTGAATTGAAATAACACATGCGAATTCACTGAATTTTAGACAAATGATAGGAGTCCGTCAATTACAAA